ATGAGTTTAGTTCAGTTAAGTGTGAATAGGTTAAGTGCCTGTACAATGGAAAACATGCGAGTCGTGTGAACCTGTACAGTTAACGTTTTGTTGAACAAACACATATATTATTATCTAGTTATAAATTTACCCAAGAGCTTTAATGTAAGTTGTGACAATAACTCTTAAAATTTAATTATTACTGAATTTAAAAGAAGAGTTAAGTTTAAAAATATTTTTTATATATTATAGTCTATTTTAAGTGCAAAATGATGACAGTTGTAAAGGCTTTTCAATATTAAACAATAGAAATAACGGAAGCTGTAGGATGAAAAAATATAATTTTGAACATTATGTCACGTTGCTTTTACTGCTTAAAATTTATCAATAATTACTTTACAATAATTATTTAGAGTTTCTTTAAATTCTCATCACCCTAATTATTACCTTCATCCTCTTTTCCTAATGGATTACCCATTTTATCCGCTATAGACAGTACCCTCAATATACGTTCAAATGAGATTCAATTGATTGATTTTATTAATTAAAGTTTTTAACAAATTCACAGTAAAGCGATTAACTTCAAACCATTTTGTTTTGTAAAATATATCATATTTAACAGTATAATTGAGATAATTCCAAATACCATATCACTGTCAATCTCTTTATCAAAAGCATTGCAAAATTAATTTCCAATCTTTGGTAGTATGTGCACAGTTGTATTCCTTTCACTACACTACTATAGTATACGTTACTGCTAGTTACCTTCTAAGGTGATTGAACGGAGAGACAGAACAAGGGCTCGATTGACAAGATATACAAGATTGCTCCAGGATATATCAATCTCTGTATATCCAAGTTAGGATCTGACTTGATCAAAGTAATTTGATGATGGTTAAAAGCGATTTGTTTTTTAGTTTTTCTCGAGCTAAACAATACTAAGACCACATTAAAAATGATAAATAATGTAATTAATACTGCTAATTATTTTATTACTATTTATCTGTTTCTTGTTTTTTATATTATATACACAAATTATGGAAAACTTTCCTTATTATCTAAAAAAAAGTTTTTTGTATACATATTTTATTTGTCATGTTATTGTCGGACCTGTTGTACGAAATTTATATCTTGTGCGTTGAGAATACGTCGGCCAGAACAAATTAATCATGTAACCGTCACAGTGGTCGACAATAAAACTGAGATAGATTGACATTATTTGAGTGTACCTGTCTTGTTGTATACATAACTTAGAAGGTGAGTAGTGAGTATAAATGAACCTCTCAATACAAAATATTTATTCATACTATGTAAGAGTTGATATTGGAGTGTGTTTGAAAGACTTATAGTCATGGAACGTGGTCATTTTATATCTCAATGTTCCCCGAGATATTATGTTTCGTATTGCATTTATATGATGTTTTATATTGTAGTGAGTATATATGCCTTTTTATTGTGAAAAAATTGAGTTCTAAAAGTAGTTTTGGGTATTATAAGTCATGAAACATATTTATTAACATGTTTGTCCCAAACAACTCCTTGTTACAGAGAGAAAGAAAATAAAAACCCCAAAGTGATGGCAAAAATATTCGTCTGACCTTGCTAGTAATTTAATGCTAGATAACTGACAAGTCATTTATTATGTGATTTATGAATCGTCATTCGAGAGGGAAGTAAATTGTATTACAACCGTTATTCATAAAATATTTATGCCTCTGCTAAGGTCTTGAGATATGATGGGATAAGAGCTGGATATTCATAGATGTTCTGTTTAATATTTTCGTTAGAAGCTATGTAAGAAAACTTATAATATTCAATAGTTAAATACATAATATTCAAATAAGACTATGTTTTTTGTATTTACTTCTCGAATTTTATAATTCTACATTTTACTCAACGTTTCAACTACTTTGTAGATCACAAGGAAACGAGATAAAAATGTCTATCAATTAAACCTTTTTTCTCTTGTTTAAGTATCAAGATGTAAATATTTATAACTGTGACTTATCAATTGAAATTTATATATTTTAAATCTTAATAATCTCGCTGATTAAGCCGAGTATATTTATATTGTCTTCCAGATAGAATAGGGGTATGAGGATCTGTTGTTTTTCAAAATTAATGTAATGGCTTAGCTTTTCTACAGTAGACACGTTTTATATACCGTTGATTATTTGTAATTGTCTACGTTTGTCTAATACATACTCGTATGTGATAAAAAATTAGAATTATATAATATTTGAAGTGAATCAGAAAAACATAGTTTATCAATGTGGCCTCGTGATATTATTACATCGTCTTATGTATTTTTTTTATTCACTTATTACATGTCGCATTACTGCCGGCTATAGAATGGAGATAAAGGTAGAGGAGCAAAATACTAGGCGGAGGGAATAGGTTGTTATATTACATACACTTAATATTTATGTCTTTTTATTATTCACTGATTATTTTATAACTTATTTGTAAATGATGGTTATTGAGTCGAATAGTTGTGCGAATATTCTCAGTAACATACTTTTAATTTTAAAATAGTTTAATTAGCATTAAAGTTTCATAATATTATGTTTATTTACTTTTTAACGAAATTTTTCATAGAGTATAGTTTCAGGATCACCCCTGATAATTTTATTATGTAAAAATTTTAAAAATAATAATAAAACACTTCCTACGGATTGAAAATTAACTCGATACCGTCATCATAGTGATTAGTTATAGAACAAACACGTTGCTCTTAATTAACAAACATGTACAATTATATACAATAGCTTTGTCTATTAGTTAACAAGAATTCGAAAATATTTATACTGTTCGAGTAAACAGAGCTACTTTCCGACAGGATATGTATTCCAGTATATAAATACATAGTTGTACAAGTTACTTACTGAGGCAGTATAAATATAAAAACGTTTTAGATGTTGATTTGAGTATATTATTTATAGTAATGAGAGTATCAATTGCTTATTTATATCATCTTGAATATGCTATATAAGAAAATACACGTCAATGTTACGATGACGATTCTAAAGTCTCTGCAGCTTTAAATCTAAAATCTATAGCCTTTAGGAATTTTGATTTGAAATTATGGATGCATTATTTTTTTCTTACTTTTTGCCATATTTTTTTATTTATTTAGGATCATAAAACATAATAACAATATGTTTTGATTATTATTATTTTGCTGTACATTTCATAATTGTATTATGTTACTATAAATTGTAACATCTCCAAATATATTGTTGGAAACACAAAATGTGTGTCACTAAGCTGGAGTGTAATTAATTCGTTGTGTGTGTTTCAGAGAGTTTATGCAAATTTTATACTTTGTTTTTTCCAAAAAAGTTTGCTTTAATGTGATATATAGTTTAATATTTTTATTAATAAAACATGTTTTTTTTAACAGCTGATTAAAGTGAGTTTAGACCAAGTCCCTTCTAATACTATTAATGAGCAAGTAACTCTGTCTTTCTGTTTGGTACATTCGCATCCCTAAAACTCTGAACGGATTTGGATGAGTTTTGTGGTAAAGATAGATTGAACGCTGTAGATGGACATATGCTATACCTTTCATGCCGATCTCGAAATTGAGTTTGTTACGCGCGAACAGGGAATCTGAGATGACACTAACTGTGCTTACCTGAAAGGACAAACGGACTTATGTAATCTTTATGATACTTCACGTTTACGTTTTATAATATAGTTTTTGTCTTTTGGATTAGTTTACAGGAATTTATACCGTGTAAGTTGTTTTGATAGTTCAACGTAAACATTTTATTGTTACTTTTTAAGTGTCTGTGTAGAAATACTCGTAGATTTACTTATAGTTTTGTTTAACTTTGTTATAGGTAGAAATCAGTAAATAAATTGAATTATTATCCATCATAAAATACTTATTACTATGTAGTATTCGTAAGTTTTAGTTGGTTCGGGTACAAAAAAATAGATAGTTATATATTTCCAACTTTCTCTTGTTTAGCTATTGTGCATGAGCGTGATACTGTATGTACTGGGAGGGTTTTCATTGTTTTTTTTTTGGAGACGAAGTGGTTGATTAAATAAAAAACATGTAACTATAGAACCTTTCATTAAAAAGCCAGTCGTTATATTTACATATAAGTAAAATATCAAATGAAATTTATACAGTTAAATTTTAAATCAACCTTTTATGAAATAAAAATAAAGTGACTGATAAAAAAACAACTTCCCACTAATAGAAACTGAATGTCGGCTGGTGAAGTTCTTTGACACGAAATTAATTACTCGTTATGTAAAGAGATATAAGTTTTATTGAATTTTTTTATAAGAAAAGATGCTAATACATACCTTCACTGAGAATTTTCAATAAGTGTCAAAGCGTATTTTTATTGATATCTTTTAAAAAATTGAAATGGATATATACTAGGACAAGTAGTCAAGCTAGAAAACTTCAATATAATTCAGAAGCATTTACGAGTATATACCATTCTGAGTATTCAGACTGAAAAATGTAACAGTGTTATAGAATGTTTATCGACTATACATGACAAAATATGACAAAACCACATTAACTGAATACTCCATAATCAACACAAATTATAAAACAAAGTCTCCCGCCACGTCTGTTTGTCGGTCTGTTCGCAATAAACAGAAAAACTACTGCACCAATTATCAAGCAGTTTTCACCACTCGATAGTTTGAGTCTTGAGAAAGGTTTTAATTTATGTTTTGGTAAGATTTTGTAGTGATTTGTGTATACATTAAGGATATTTATAATAACGGGTTTTTTATGTCATTTTTTAATAATAGGTAGTAGTTAGTATAGTTTTTTAAACTGTTGTAATTAAACCTTAACACAATAGACGAAGGAAATACGATAGAATGAAACGGATAGATAAAATTAAAAACGAACCAAATATATATGAGACGAAACTACTAAGCATTCCATGGATTCACCGTGCGGGTGCCGGGTCCATCGCGTTGCAGGGAGAGGAGCTTCAACAGTGCCTGGGACTTGCGACCCAAGTGTTGGTTTAAGGGGCCCCTTAACTAACGCGCGTTATACGCTCACCTCCACTGTCCAAGCTCCTCTCCCTACCTAACCAAATTTGAAAAGAACCTACTAGGGCTGCCTTCGATATACGTTCCAAGAATGCATAAATGTGAGTTCTGGACAAGCCCAAGTCCTTTAGTAGGTTGTAGAGAGATTTCGCTGTTATACCTCTCGCTCCCACCTCTACCGCGTACAAATCTACTACGAACCTATTTCGAGTGAGTTCGTTTGTGAGCTCGTAATATTTGTTGACCTTGATGGTATGGTCTTTGGGGATGTTGGTTTCCCAAGGGACCGTAAGCTCTATCATCACTACGCGCTTTAAAATTCGCGAAAACAAAAATATATCCGGTCTGGAGGCCGACGCACAAATATCCTCGGGGATTTTATATTGCTTTTCATACGTGTCCATCATTATAGTCCAATCCGACGCCGCTTTAAGGATGGAGTAAGGCTTGACGTTTGATTTTGTAGCCCTAGTGCCTTCTCTCACAAAACCTACTGATCGTTCGTTTGTGGTTATTTCCTTTTGCGCTCTGGCTACCGAAAGACTAACCGCTTCACGTATGACTTCTAGAACCCTAATATATTAATATTAGGGTTAATATATTAATAATAAATATGTGTATGTATACATAGAGAAATATATATTGTAAGTTCATTTCGATGAATAAAATTTCAACATTTTTAAAACACCTTTGCTCTCTTGAATTTTAAGCTTTTAAAGTCCTAGTTTCTCGGAATCCTCTTTTCAAATAACCTTTTCGCAATAATCCGTTTTATTTCCGTTACTTACTTGCAATCAAGTAACGAGACAAATTTATCAAAAAAGTTCATAATGTAAATAACAACTCAGCTCAGAATTATATTAATTAATTTTTTACTTTTATTAATAATTTAACTTTGTAATGAAATCTACTACTTAACGTTATAAGAGTCTATGTTGTATATTTCGGAACTTTTCTGGAGTTGCTAATATAAGAGTACATTTAAATTAATCTGAGATATTTAACAATGTTTCGAAAGATGATAAAGATAAAAGAGCACTAAAAACATATTTGCATTGCACGAAAATTGCTAAAATACAACTTTTTTGAGCCATCTTTATTTACAAAATAATTTTACAAAATATTGGAACATACTTAACATAAAAGAACACAAAAAAAATATTTTCTTTCCACTATTAAACGTTGTGGTTCTCTTGAGACATGTTTGTTTCAGAATTTCCTATTAGACAGAATCGTGTTCTACGTCAACAAGACGTAGATATAATGCCTAATTATGTGATACAAATTCTCTAAGCGTTCTCAACATGATGATAGTACGTTGATCTAGAGGTAATTAGAGCTTAGAAGCATGATGTCATGTCATGTGATGTCATGTCATGGCAATAGGATTTTACTTCAAGACTAAATTTCTGTTTATAATTTACTCTTTTTTTTAATAAGCTTTGACAGTACCCTTATTAAATGAGGTTAGTGGTTAAAAAATACAAGATGGGGTTTTATTTTTTGTTGTTACTACGATTATAAAAGGAATACTGACAAATTCAATACATATAGTATTCGAAATAATATATTATTGGAATTGAATAAGCCAACTCTGGTCATATAGCATTGATAATTAATAGTTTAAGACATCGTTAATTCGTGGTTGTGTTTGTGTATGTCGTTTTCGTTTTACCAGTTGTTAATGTACTCACAGTATGAAAGGTAATATATATATATTGTTTCAAAATTATCAATGTATGAAAATATGGAAAAGTATAGGGGAAACTAATGAGTTTTGCAGTTTGTAACACCGAGTTTTGGTTTCATTTCAAGAATACATGTAGTTTTAGAAGAGAGGTCTTAATATTAATGATAATTTTAATTTGAAAGCGTAAGAATGTAAAAGTAGTAAGGATGTAAAAGAAGTAAGTATGCCTGTCATCTATAAAATTCATTTCAAAAGTTAAAATACCCTTGCTCAGTGTAAAGAACTTTAAAAATATGTGAAAAATTGTTTGTAAGTTTCTGTAAAAAATAAAATACTGGCGTATAATTTCAATGAACACAATAAAAACTTTTTGTGAGTTACGTAATTCCTAATAATAAAAATAACATTGTTTAAAAAAGGACTGAAATGGACAAGAAGTTAATCGAAAATGATAAAGCAAAAGTGATCCGATTAGAAATTATTAAGAAGAAACGTGTTTGTATGTTAATAATTGTATAACCACTGATTTGTATAACCGACGTATAACATAAATACAGAACAAGGAAAAACCAATTTTTCATTACTTTAACATTACTCGTTTACGAGATCATTCTGCTTAAGCAATTAATCATCAATAATAAATATTATAGCAATTGAAGTAACACATATAAAACGTATTCCACTTCATGAATTAAATTTTGGAGTGATATTATATAACATCAATTGTCCCCGAGATTTATTATAACAAGGAAATAAGTTAACAATAGAATGTGGGGTTAAGTCAGCTCGCTTTACGGAATCTTTGTTTGCGACATAAGATTTACTATAGTTTCTTACCATTACATTACTTTTGCCTAGTCAGTTACTGTACTTTTAGTTGATTTATCTTTTAAAGTTTTCGAATAAGCTTTTGGTAACTAAGAATTTAATATATATAACAATGTAATAAAGAGATTATAGCTACCAAAGCGAGTTATAGCTACCAAATTAAAAAAAAATCATTTTTATGATAATGCTAATTGCATAATTAATTGTTTAGTGATTTGATTGTTTATTTATGATGAAATTAAAAATAATTCCTTTTATATTTAATACATCAATATCAAATAAATTTTAAGCGGCGAAAAAATAGATATTAAAAAAGAAAATCTGGTTCTACATATATCAGAAATCTATATAAAGTCAGTAGAGTAAAGTAGTTTCTAGGAAGGTTAGTTAATTAAATAAGGGTTTTTTCGAGTAAAATAGGATTTTAGAGCAACAAAGCAAGTGAAAAAGTATAAGAAAATTCTTTGAATTTTATATATATTTGCGTCATTTACATCAAATAAGAATGTGTACAGGTTGCGGTGTCAATTACATAGAATATGACTCGACATCCATCATCATGACACCAATTAGGCCGATTCTACTATTACAAATTACTTCAATTAATTCTAAAAAATGACCGTGAAAAAATTCCTCCATATTTTTTACCTCTTCCACTGTATGTAAATATTTTAACAATGGTATTTTTCTATTATTTATTTAATATAATAGTAAGAAAACTAAAATATACTAAAAATAATTGTTATGACCACTTCTATATTGTGTATTTTATCCTTGTTTGATAATATAGTAATAGGTTTTTTAAAAGAATTGGATGATAAAATTCGGGAAAACAAAAAGAAAAAAATATCTTAAAGAAACGTGAAAACCATTAAAAGATATGAAGCGTATGATATAAGCGTAAGATACGTTATAATAAACGAATAAAAAACATAGTCCAATTAACCAATACTTTAGCAGAAAAGATTTAAAAAAAAAACAACAGTATTTGCAATTCATTAAGTTTTGATAAAACAAATAAAATGAAACTCATAGAGAGAGAGGGAACGTATTTTGAGAATCTTTTAGGTAGCTTATTATGTAAATTGCTCATTTGTTTTCTTTCTGAAAACTTGTTTAGTGAAACTCTTAACATGTTAAAGAAATATATTGTTTTGAACTTATTACGAAAATGCAAGCAAATAAGATTTGTCTTAATGTTTGTAGAAATTTCATGCAGATTGCAAGTTTGAGCAAAATGAGAAAATATTATTCATTTTGGAATCATACAAGATTCTTTTATTATTCGTCTATTTCAATTCTCTTGGATAATTTATCTTTTTCCATTGCATTTTCTTATAAAGTTCACTTTATAGTATAAGCTTTTATGTTTTTGCAATGTTTCATTAAACCATATCTTAATTAATAAACACAATGTGAAATTTTAGAAACATAGTAATTTTACTAAGCTTTGGATTTCCTAGGTTTTAATAGACTTTTCATACTGTGTTTTGATTAATCTTAGCAGCATTAAAATACAGACATTGGTCATGGTTTTTGGAGAGTCTTAATACGAGTGGGTACGTTTTCGTGTTTGGTGAACTTATAGAGGTAAAACCTAAATCTATTTACAGCATATCCGCATTTCTTCTGGACATGTCCAGTCCACGTAGATGTCATAAATTGACTTTTAAAGTCGAATGGAATCTTTATGTTTATAGACTTAAGATGTCACTGTAGAATTAGAGGTAAATAATTACTTAGCTTTTCCTGGTATACTTGTCATTAAGAATCCTAAAAACTCTCAGATATATTTTTTATAGAAAACCCACACATACAGATAGTTATCTCAATTTGAATTCATACCACCACCCTATCCAGTTAGCTACCGTTGGCAAATATTTATTGCAGAGAGGCCAAGCTGTAGCTGTAAGAGATTCTCTAACTATAAACAACATGAGGTGCTTCGCCAACATAGTAAGAATTATTTGCAACCAGCCACAGTTTAGCAACAACCTGCCATATTGTTCATATGTAAACAGAGTTACTGATAGAATAACTAAGATCCCATTTAAACCAAATAAAAAGTAACGCAAGTATTGAGACTATTTAGAGTATAATTCTTCGATCATCAAACTTGATTGAGACAGTGAGATGCCATACATTAGACAACCTAAGAACAGTATTTGTAAAAGGTTCAAATAACGAATTGAGATATCAAAAAAAACTGTGTATAAAAATCAGCAATGTGTGAACATGTGATGGTCAAATCAAGTGATTACATGGTGAAGGTATTGATATTTTAAATAAAACGTAATTTAGTACCTTACATCAGGAATCTACACGTACACACACATATACTGCTTGACTTCAAGATATGTAAGCGCATTTTGTCTGCATCCAGAACGGTACGCGAGAAAATTAAGAAACCATTGGAGATAGATGAAAAATAACAAGACTAATGAGAGCCACTTTCATCTCAAAATAAAAATAACAAATATATTTTTCTGCGGAAAGTTTTAAACGAAAATAATCCCTAACATATAATGAACTACAAACAGGTATTAATTGGCTATAAAATTAACAACTTATGTAGACCAAACCCATTCTAAGCTCATGTATCTAATAGGATCATTACGTAAGGCGCTATCTGAAGCGTGTACCTAAGATTATTATCTATTATTAACTAATAAAGCCCTGTCTCTTGTACTCAATTGGTAATTGAGAGCAAGTGCTCTCTCTACAGATAAGTCAGAAGATCTTACACTGTCCAAAATAAACACTTTGGTGCTCAACACGTTGGCCAATAATAAGTTTGAAGATCATTTTTAAAGAGAAGTTGGTGAGTATGTAGCAGTTGCATAATGTCTACTACTATAGCAATATTACTTAAATTAAAATTTATCGTACATAAATTTACAATTATATACAAAATAATACAAATAACTTGTTTTTTTTCAAATGCTTGAAATTTGTTATATATAACAATGTGACAAAAAATATATTTTCAGCATTACTTCTAAAGAAACTTTGATTCTCGAAAAGCTTTTGAGACTCTTGTAATAAAATTAATAATAAACTTGACTTCAATTTCTAGTTTCCTAAAACTTAATTTAGTAGCGGTCAAGTGGCTGAATTGCTTGTTCTCTGAACTCGCGTTTTGTTCACTTTAAAACGAGTCAAGCAAAAACTTCAAACAAAGGTTTATCAGTTTATAAACCATTAGGAATATATATAGAAAGTTCAAAATATTATAGAGTATGTATATATATGAATCTGTCTTTGTTTCTGTGTGCGTGTGTGAGTGTATTTATTCAAACAACTTGAAATTA